TAAATTAGAATAGGGTCTTGGGGGTTCCTTCTTATATTTATAGTATAATAAACCCCAAACCCCATTATAATTATCAAGGCCCCTCTATTTTACTGTCTCGAGACAGAGACTCCCAAACCCTAAAACCCTAAACCCTAAAACCCTAAACCCAAAACCCTAAAACCCTAGAACCCTAAACCCCAAAACCCTAAAACCCTAAAACCCTAAACCCCCAAACCAGAAAACCCTAACACCCTAACACCCCAAAACCCAAAACCGTAAAACCCTGAAACCCCCGTTGCGGCCAAGGCGTCGAAGATATCTCTTGTCATCGCTGAAGGACAGGATGCGTCCCCCGGCCTTCCATTCTCAGAAGGTGCGGTGTTGAAGGCGTTGGGGATTTTCTTCTAAATTAAAGCCTAAACGTATGAGGCTTTGTGGTCTCGACTGTAGTGTTTAAGGCATTGGGGCTTTATCAAATTGAAGCCTTGGCGTATGAGGCTTTATGGTCTAGACTTTAGTGTTTAAGGCATTTGGGCTTTATTAAAGCCTTGGCGTATAAGGCTTTGTGGTCTAGACTTTGGAGTTTAAGGTGTTGGGGTTTAGGGTTTGAGGGTGTAGACCCCCAAATCAAACTACTAAGCTTTGGGGCCAGCTTGGGGGCTTAACTTTATGGCTTTGTGAAAGTGGTTAGTCGCATAGATACCCTCTGCTAGCTGCTAGCCTTCGCACCCTGAACTGACACGCCCAAGGCAGTGTACTCCCTTCGCTTCCCCCAGGTACAGAAAGCAGCGCAGTCTCGACACTTGGTCTTAAGGTTTAGTTGTGCATGGGCTTAGGGTCTACCTCAAGGCTTCGGTGTCGCAGTATAGCATCCCCATGGTAAGCCTTGTAAGCCTTATCGTAGCCCCATAGACACGCCAGCTGCACCTCCATGGAACCCTAAACCGTGACCCAGGCCGGCCGATCAACCATAAAATCTCCCTGAGATGAAGCCAATGAACGAGCCCAGGACCCACCAAGCCACCCGCTGCACTTCATTTCGCAGCTCGGCAGCATACTTCGGCGTTGGGTCCTTGCGCCAGCAAGGGCTGCTCGTGCACCGCCAAAAAGGAGCATACTGATGCAAACAAGACTGCAGGTGCGCCCACCAGGTTCTCAAAAGAGCCATGTGCACCCTCAACAAAACCTTTAAATTTAGGCTGCAGTTTACAGCACCTCTCGCCTAAGTCTAAGGCTCTTCCGGCTCATGCTGCAAAGGTCTTGAACTCGATGACCATGCTGCA